CTCTTTCTCATGACATGTAGTCCTGCTGATCCCACTAACCAGGGAGGTGAAAGAAGACCTAGCTTTCTTTCCATTCACATGCTTTTGAGTGGATGCCGTCAGTGACATTATTAGGTTTTAAGACAGGTTATGTTTTCTGAGAAAATGAAGGAAAGTCAGTGATCTCTCAATACCACAAAAAGACTGCCCATTACAAGAGAGCAAGGATGTTCAGCTTGGGCATGGATTTACTGGGGGGAAGAGGAGCACTTCGCTCTTCTCCCTCCGTTAGCATCAGGAGCAACAACCATGTGGTTGTGCAGCTCCCACAACCACAGAAAGTCTGGATCCAGTTTTGCCAGTTGAGTAAGTAAAGTTCAGTCACACTAAGACACACATGCGAGGAATGGATTTTGTGAAGCTTTTTACAAAACTATGCAATTTACCTCCTTCTCTTTGAACTATGTGGTACAGGTGAACCATGTGCAGGATAGACTCCAGATCTTGATCTTGGTAGCCTTTCTCGTGCATGTCATCCACTGTGTCTGGATAGATGACTTGATCACGTAGTGTTCCAATGGACATGTAGGGCCTGAGAAATAACAGAGAAACCAATCAATCTGGAGGTGGCTCCAAGCAAGTGCATCTTGCTGATACTCTGTCAGAGAGTATAATGCTTTAAACACCATGTTGCTAAAACTGGATTTATCTGTGGGTGCATTGTGGGCAAACATTTTTCTAAACTTACCCTAAGGACAATGTATTGTTTCCGTAATAGCTGATTACAGGGTAGCACCAGGGGCAGTATTTGCATGAAAACAAAATGACAGGTCAGGCAGAAAAAACATCCACCTCATAGCCCATTCTCGCTGCTTTCACTTGGAATCAGGGAAACTCTAAGCTGTGTTCAAGGTTTGGTACACTTAGAGATTAGATATTGAACTGAACACTCACATGTTAAAATCAAATGGCAACAAAAATGTTGCAGCTCAAACTTGGGAAAAATTTCCATGGTGCAGCAGGAGATGCCCAAGGCAGAACAGCACTGAAAGCCTCCTTTGCACGCTATTAACTTGAACTGCAGTACTGGGACTGGGTGTAACTTACCTGGCTCCAAAAGCCAGTGTAACGCTTCTGAATTGCAAAAAGGCAAACATTAACCACGCTGATCAGCTTAAACCTCCCAGTGCCAGCCTCCCTCTGCCAAGCACAAGGCTGGGCTGTATGTGAAGCAGCTTCTGAATCGCCATGTTCACAGACCAGGTAATACCATCCATCTTCCTAAAACAAACTGTGTCCACTTTGGAGCCAGAGTCCTCAACCATGGCCATGTCCCTGGAACGGCTATGGACAGTCTCCACAATGTCACGAGCTGTTCCCAGCCTCTGGTACAGCCCAGACCCCATAAATCCTCCTAGTCTCTAAACAAAGCCAGCTCAAAGAACAACTGTACAGCTCTCTAAAAGATACCAGGCCATTCAGGCTAGGGTGGCAAAGGCAACCTAAGACGCTTATTTGACCACCTCTTGCTGGTCTTCTTCTATGGGTTTCTTGTGAAGGACAAATACCTATCCTGTCCCACAGTGCCTGCTCATAACTCTTGGAACCTAGAAACACCCTGGGAATGACCTGTGAGATTTTGAGTTTGGAAGAGAAGGCCAGAGCCAAAGAACAGTCAGGCTGCAGACTCTGTTTGCTTTCTGAGCCAAGAGCTACATTAACTCCCTCTGGATTCATCTGCCAAAACAACGCTAATCTTATTAAAGCTGTGGTGCCAGGGGATGATGACAGGAGCAGTTAAAATTGGGCTGGCAATGAGGAAGCATCCACAAAGTTTTCCCTTGCCACTGAGAACTGCTTCCAACAACTTCACAGTGCACTGATGAGGGGTCAGTTTTCTTCCCTGACAAGCTCTGGACCTGTGTGGTAGGAAAGTCTCAGCCACATAGGTGCTTTCCCTGACAGGTATGTATAATACCTTAGCAGATTTTTTCCCTTCCCTTGGAGGTTTCTCTGCAGAAGGGATAGCTCTACCCATTGTTATTCTGAGAGTCCCCAAAGAGTAATTTGAAGGAATTCATAATGCAACAGATTTAGAATTACAGAACTAAAGCTGCAACATGGACTGAAAGTCACATTCAAGATGGCATCAGAGGCATTGGTTTTAGTGCTGCAGAAATCCACGGTGAGCCCGTCTGTACGTGCTTGAACTACTTTCACCCCCAGCTAGGTGAGGGTGGGAAGGGCAGGGAATCTGAACCACTGGCAAATACTTGGTCATCTCCCTGCTGTGGGCAGGCACTGAGATGGGGCCACACCAGAACTGCAAGTCAAATACAAGCACTGCTGCTCCTCTTCGTTCATTGTTCTGCTTTCTGCTTATTGTGGGCAGAGCGCTGCTCTGAGCTGCTGCATGAACACTAGCATCAAGTGCAGTGAACCACTTACATTAATGGGGATCTTGCAAAATCTCAACTCTAAACATTATGTAACTTCATGAAATAATGATATATTACATTTCCATGGTGCTCTCCATCTAAAATCTCAAAGAGCTTTACTTCTTGCATATGTGGAAATTACTTCACCCACCCCAGGCTGCTGCCATCTCTGGGGCAGAAGACACAACTCCACCTCAGAGAAGTTTAAATCAGGCTGGGCATAAGACTGTAATATAGGTGAAGCTGCAGGTAAGGGTAAGGAGGACAGAATTACCTATCATATAATTTGGCTGGGGTTTAATGCTTCACTCTTGTGAAGTGTGATTCTGTAATGACGAGCAGCTCTGAGATTTAACCTACCACACAACTGGGAAGACAATGCTCACAAGCACCGTGCCAGGACACTTGTTGCCATGCTGTTTACTGAGTCACCAGCACCACTCCCTGGTACAACTGGGTTTGCCTTGTGGCTTCCCATCTAAACACACCAGTACTACGAAGAACACCTCTCCAGCCCTAGTTTGTAAAAATTAAAGCCCAGCCTGCAGTGGAATAGCAAACCCCATCAATTACTAACTAGCAGGCAGGAAGAATGGCTTATGATTATGGGTCTGCCCAGGGAGATGTGGGAACATGCTCTGCTTCACCCATGCTACAGGGAGCCATGCATGTCCCTGAGGGGACACATCATCTTGTTTGGCATGACATGTCTTGTTTGGGGCTCCATCTCTTGACAACAGAGTAGCACCTCTGTGGCTGGTTTATCCCGTTTATTTTAAGGTGGGGATGGATGCCTCCTGGAGGTGTCTTGTCCCTCAGAGGGGGACAGAGCCCAGACAACTAAGTTCTAAAGTGCTAAAGTTAGATGAGATCTCATCTAACTCATACTCTCATAATCTCATAGTAAACCAGACTTCTCTGTCTTTAACTTGAAGACAATAACCTCCTTACATACCATGGGTGCCACAAAGTCAAACACATTAACAACTGTCAAACACGTCACTGTAATTGCGGTTACTTGTGTGTGATAGCTAGGTATTAAGTGGTAAAAGAAGTAACTGGATGCAGAAAACAGTGAGATTTTGGCTTTGCCAGTAAGCTCCTTGTTAGAACACTGTTTTCATTAAATTCTTAGCAGTTCAAACAACAAAACCAGTCTTTTTGTCCTGAAGTAATACTCCAGTTTAACTGGACTTAATTGATTTTGGATTGAGTTTTCCCTCTCAGCCAGTGTCTGAGTTCCAGTCCCAAAGAAAACACTCTCACAGACTCTGAAAGCAACTATTCTGCTGTGTGGTGGTCATGTCTTTGATGGCAAGAGCTCTGCAATTGATTTCTTTCTTTGCTCTCTGAAAAAAGATTCCTACACTGGTTTTGAGAGACAGGATTTCAGATCAGTAATCCTTTTTTAAAGCTTTGGTTTCAGACTTCCAGAAAGGTAAGAAAACTTACTGATTCTTGCCTGGTTTTCTGGAATTTCAAAGGCATTTATTGGAAGAGACACTTTCATTTGTCATACACTGATATTTTTTTTCAGTTTGAAGGTTTTATTGTATCACCAATTTGTGTTTGGTGCTTCACTTTGCAGAGTTGTAACTTCATTTTGCTAGTAACAAGCCATCATCCCTAAGGGCTTACGGCTTCCCCTTTGCAGTGCAGGCTTTAAAGAAAGATGATATCAAGATGTGCTGCAACCTGAAGCCTGTGGTATGGACAATTCCCCAGTACCCTATTGACACATGACATTGTGTACAATGCTGGCAAATTATTGGGGAAATTATATGGGGAGAAAAGGGAATTGTAGCCAATGATATGGCTTCTTTATTGTGGTTTGCTTTGGGAGGGAGAAGAGGGCAGGTGCTACAAAACATATTGTAGTACAGGTTAGTTCCTTGTCTTTCCAAACAGAGGACTGACTTACATGCTGAAGTTGTTAGGCATAAAAGAGAAATACAATGCCAATTCGAAGGGTTTGTAGATTAACACAGTACACTGTAACCACACAGCTGATGTCTTGAAAAGCAGAGGGCTTCACTCTTTCGAGTAGCAAGTTCAGGAAGGTGATTTGCTTAGATGTCAATAAATTTCTGTTCCCAAATCAGAACAAGCCATATCCACTTGAAATGTTTGCAAATGAATGTATTCAAAGGTGTTTTATTCTTCCATGTAATTCCATGCCAGAACTGATAACCTGTTCTGACTTATAGAATCATATAATAGTTAGGGTTGGAAAGGACCTTAAGATCATCTAGTTCCAACCCCCCTGCCATGAGCAGGGACACCACACACTAAACTTCCATAATATTATTTTAAAGAATTATAGCAACTAATCAATACGCACTTTGAGAGTCTATAAAGCAATCTGAATGGCCAGAGTCTTAATTACAAGCACCCTAGAATAAGAAAGGGATCAAAAATGTATCTTAATCAAGTGCTGGCGTCAGAAGGTATGGAATATTAGTCCAATATAAGTGCCCAAGGAACAGCTTCCAGGTACAGGCTGTGATTAATACTTCCTCCATGGAAGGTAAAGTCTAAAAACATGTGGCTTGTGATTCTGGAACCCACCCGCATGGCCCCAACTGAGCAATCAGGACCTGACTTGCCATTTGCTGTCCAAGTGTGTTTGCAGTTATTATTGCACTATTATTCTCATAGACATGAAAAGTTATGTGGGAAAATCATGCGTAATGCCACTGTAAATTCTTGACTGATCCATCCTTTAAGTTTCTGCCTCTGGCTGACGAAATGCCTGTCTACTAGACCCAAGTGGGAGAGAGAAAGGGGCATACCACGCCTAGGATTCTCCTTTTCGTATAAATTGCAGCTTGCATTTTCAAAGGAGATTTGGATGGCTTCAAAGTGCAATTCAGAGTGCTTGCTTTGACATCTAAAATAAAATGTATTCCAAACGTAGGTACCTCTATTTAAGATGACAATACTGGAGCTCAAGCTCCAGCCGTGGAGATGTCTTCCCAGGAAACCTGGAAGATTGTAAGGAGTCAGTGCTTGCACTGAAGAATCTCCAGCCCAGAAAGCCAAGAGCACAGCTCATACCTACAGCTGTGCCCAAATGCTGTCTAATTCCCCAGAAGGTCCAGTACAGCATCTAATACAAAAGCAATATCTTTAAGACTAACACAAAAAAAAAAGCAGCTACTAGAGATGCAAGATGAAGGGCTGTATGACAAGCTATCAGTTAGCAAATTTCTTCCAAGAACTGAGTTCAGGCTAAGTTCTTCTCAGCTTGCAGGGCATCAGATTCCCATTTTTCTAGGCTAGAGTCCAGGCTAAAGAAGAGTCAAAGAGAGGGCACCTTCTAATCTTCACACTGAAGCAAGGAAACTCCTGCTAAGAGGCAGGAATAATCTGTCAGAAGAGAGTTACTGGAACCCTAATGATAACTACACTAGTGAGAGTCTTCAGTTGGAAAGAGAGAGACTTTAGTACCAGTTCCTTGTGACATATGTTATTTATGCTATTCCTTTTTCCCCCAGTGCTCTTTAATATAAAATGCAGTAACTATCCTAATCCTTCAGAAGCATTGTAAAAATATATTAAAGGAGCTTCTAATCTTATTTAGGTGTCTGGTCTCAGGAGAGAGCTTGTTATAGATAAAAGGGTTTAATGTTTAGTTCTCAGTCTGGCACCCAAACTTCAGTAAAAGGCAGGAGTTCAGACATACATTTATATTTAGAGATTCCTGTGGATTAACTCTAGGTGGCTCCCTTTACCTACTACTTTTTCTTTTTCTTTTTTTTTTTTGATACTTTTCCAAAAGCCCTGAATCTCTGCTTGACTACCTCGGGAATCCACCTATATTTAGAACCTTCCATCACCTTGCTAGTGCCAAGATCCTTGTTTTCCGGTGCTGTAACACCTCAGCTGGAATCACCTCAGCAGAACTCCTGCTCTTGCTATGTTCCTGATTAAGATCAGTAGTTAAAACTCCATGGTTTTCAACAGCA